TCAGCACTTAAAAATGACTTCATGGAATATCACTCAGCATTAAAAAATGACAAATGTGTAATAACGTGGATGGATCTCAAAGTCATCACACTGAGTATAGGAGCCAACCTGAATGTTAGCTATTACATAGTCTAGAATGCCATTTACATATAATTCTCAAAACGACAAAACTGTAGTGACGGAGAATAGATCAGGGTTTTCAGAGGTTAAGTTTTAGAGAAAAATATGACTCTAAATGGGGAGAATGGGGGAGTTTCTGTGTGGTTAAGGAGTATTTTTGTGGCTTGATTGTGGTAATAATTACATGAATCAATACATGCTAAAAAAAAACTTCATAAAACTTTTACCACTTCATAAAAAACTTCATAAAACTTTTACCACATGAAACTTTGCAATCTGAATTACATTTTGCTTTAATTCATAAAATTATACCAATGTCATTTTCTGTGTCTTGATAAATTTACCATTCTGTGTAAACTGATATTGTTGTTTAAAATTAGGAGAAGGTTACACAGGAACTTCCTGTACTATTTTTACAATTTCTGTATGACTCTAATACAATTTCAAAGAGTTTAAGATAAAAAGGGAGGCTGCAAATTGTGGTACAATTACTAGTGTCCATCAATGTTTAGTTTTCCTCTCCTTATAACATTTCTGCAATGCATTGCAGTTAACTGGACCACCTGATTAGAATGTACTTCTGATAGAGGCAGTCATATAAAATAAAATACAGAGCTAGACAACAGCAGTGGGGTATGATAAAATTGCCTATGTAAACATAGAAGGATAGTCAAAGAACAATCTCTAGGCTATGGTTGGTGGAAGAGGTCAAAGTAAAGGACAAAAAGAAAAAAATATATAATATGCAAAAGGGTGAATATACAAGCTCTTCTTAAAAGATTGATAATATCACACAAGGAAATGATCCCTATTACTTTCAACCTTTGTTGTTCAGCAGTCTCACTCTTTTGGCACTTGTCAGCAATGGATGCAAAGTTCTTAGTAACACAAGATATCTCTTCATTCAACAGTAACATCTCAGACAGTGAAATGTGATTCACATTTTACTACAGATCATGGGGACACTGTGGAACTAGCTAGTATCAGTCATATTTCAAAAAATTAAATTCATAAGCTTGCAATTATTAGAGCTTTATGTCTACTCTTTCTTGGATGCAGTTTCTCCATCTGTACAATAAGGAGAATGATAAATCTACTTTAAGTGCCATTAGATTCTGAAAACATTTTTGAACTGTGGGGTAGGGAGGAGACTCACCTGTCAGAAGAAGCATCAATAGGAGCTCTCCCAAAAGGGAGAAGAATGAGGCCAAAGTAAAATAGCACAAGAAGAAGAAAAGTGAAGGAAAAGTGGTGTTAGGCAATTGGGAGAATGTCACCAACAGGTCAGGAGTGCAAGAGAAATGCAATGCAAGAAGGGAGGTTGGCTGGAAAGTTACACAGTCCGTGCATTCTTCTGGGCCACGAAAACCATCTAGTCCAGCGGAGAGCTGTGCATCTGGGATATCCATGAAACTGATACTGGCACATGCAATGGCAGAGAGTGTTCCTGACCTCTGTGTAGGAAGGAATTCAAGTGCAGGGTCACAAGCAAGAGAAAGAACAGACAGAAAGTGTAGGCAGAAGTAGAAAGATTTGTTGAAAGTAGAGTATATTCTTAAGTAAAGGCAAAAGAGCAGACTGATCCAAGGAGCTATAGTGGTACCCCAGGGTTAGGGGTATGTTCTTTTATTATAATCCCTAATAATATGCTAAGCTGTGGGTGGAATATTGATGAGTTTTCTGGGAAAGAGTTGGAGAGTTCCTAGAACCAGGAACCTTTCCTTTTCTTGATCTTATAGGACAATTTCTGGGAGTTGCCATGCCGTTTGTAAAGTGTCATGAGGCTGGTGGGTGGAATCTTTACTGTTTTTTTTTTTTTTTAACTTTTACAATTTTTTTATTTCAAAATATTAAAGGGGTATACATGTATTTGTTATGTGTTAATGAGGGTAGTTCATTTAGGAACACTGTCGCCTCAACTGTGCCATGCCCCAATTAAAGGAATTTTCCCATTGACCTTAGATAAAGATGTTATGGGTAGAGAAAAATAACTAAAGGGTCCCTGTCAATTACATTTACCTTAGCTAAACATATTCACATTCTTCTGACTTTCTTATCCTGTTGGCCTTCTCCTTGTGACTTTTGCCCTAACTGCCTGTAGGATATCTGACTCCTATCTCAAAACCTTATGCTGTATTTACTGTAAGGATGAGGGCCAAGGTGTATACCAGATAACAACTTGTCTTAATCATATGTTTAAGGAGCCTAGAGAAAATCAATCTCTCTCTCTCTCTCTCTCTCTCTCTCTCTCTCTCTCTCTCTCTCTCTCTCATCTCACACCCATTGTCTCTCTGTCTCTCTCTGTCACACACCCACTGTCTCTCTGTCTTTCTGTCTCTCTCTCTGTCACACTCCCACTCTCTCTGTCACACACCCTCTCTCTCTCTCTCTGTGTGTCACACTCCCACTGTCTCTCTGTCACACACCCTCTCTGTCTGTCTCCTTCTCTCTGTCACACACCCAGTCTCTCTGTCTGTCTCTCTCTGTCACACTCCCACTCTCTCTTTGTCACACACCCACTCTCTCTCTGTCTCTCTCTCTCTGTGTCACACTTTCCCTCTCTCTCTCCTATCACACACCCATTCTCTGTTTCTCTCTCCTCTCTCTCTTTCTCTGTCACACACCCATACACACACTCTCTCTCTTTCTCTCTCTCTCTATTTTCTGTATCTCTGTTTCACTTCTTGTAGCATGAAGAAGAGCAGTGCCAGGCAGTGGCCTTAATTTTTTATCTCATGGGCCTTATAAATTACTTATCACATTTTTCAATCTCCATTTTGCATTGGATGTTAGAAAGAAAAGGACCAAACTTAGGGCCCAAACAAACAGATGCTACACAACAAATATTTTTCATACTCCCTCCTTATTGAGTGCTACTGGCCATTACTACACTCATTTTTTGACCCTGTTTTTAATCATTTATATATTTTAAATTCTTATCTTATTGTTCAGTCTGTTTTCATGTAAACCTCCTTAAATTGTTTCTGGGACTAACAGAGACAACTACATTAATGAATAAATCATGTGGTATTATAATGAAAAGAGAAAAGTATAAGAAAATGATATAGAAATTTTTCCAGAGATACACAGGATACAAAAGGTTTAGGGGAAATATAATTTAAGATGGTGTGAAGATTGCTGTAAGTTGATGTTCAAATCAGAGTAAAATATAGAAGAGTTAAGACATTTGCTGGTTGAGAGATGGATGCACGTGGACCCAGAAAAACAGAGCATTGAGGGGAGGTGGCTTTTCACACAGTTAAAAGTATAGGAAATTGTCTGTGTTTAGCAAGAAGTATATAATATAGAAGTTATTTAAAGGGTAAAAATGACAGAGTATATATATTATAATCATATAGAGTAATAACAGTTGTTTTATAATTCAGTGGTAATGTGTAACTGTTTAAAAGCAAGGGAGGGCCAGCAAATCATTGTGAGAGTGCAGATGTCTTTTTAATAGAATGTCTTTTGTTCTTTGGGTAGATGCCCAGTAGTGGGATTGCTGGATCAAATGGTAGTTCCACTTGTATCTCTTTAAGGTATCTCCATATTTCTTTCCACAAAGGTTGCACTAGATTGCAGTCCCACTAACAGATTATGAGTGTTCCTATCTCTCCACATCCACTCCAACACTTATTGTTTTGGGACTTGTTGATGATAAAGGACATTCTCACTAGAGATAAGTGATATCTCATTGTGGTTTTGATTTGCATTTCCCTGATGATTAGAGATGGTGACCATTTTTCATATGTTTGTTGGCCATTATTCTGTCTTCTTTTGGAAAGTTTCTGTTCATATCTTTTGCCCACTTTTTGATAGGGTTGTTTGATTTTTCCTTGCTGATTTTCCTGAGTTCTAAATAGATTCTGGTTATCAGTTCTTTATCCGATGGGTAGCTTGCGAAAATTTTCTCCCATTCTGTGGGTTGCCTGTTTGCTCTTGTGACAGTTTTTTTGGCTGTGAGAAGCTTTTTAATTTGATCAGGTCCCATTTATTTATTTTTATTGTTGCTGTGATTGCCTTTGGGGTCTTCTTCATAAATTCTTTGCCTAGGCCAATGTCTAGAAGAGTATTTCCAATGTTTTCGTCTAAAATTCTAATAGTTTTGTTGGGCCGTAGGAATGTACAGCCCGTTTGGGAGAGAGAGAGACGACCGCCCAAAAAGACTCAGAGTCCAGAGGCTTGATGCAAAAGAGCAGGAGGTTTTTTTTTATTTCCAGCGCTGGGGCGTACAACATCACCCAGCTAGGGGAGCTGCCGCGCCCCTTTCAAGCTTGGGGGGGTTTTTTATAAGCTAAAACCACAGCCGGTGGTTAGGGAGTTTAGGGTGGGGAAATTCCACTGGTCTTGTCTTGTATAACTGGTTGCACTTAGTTCCGGGAACTTGTAACAGCTATAACAGCTATTTCCTGGAAGGGCGGAAGGGGTGTGGGGTCTTGGTTTTCTAAGAGCAAGCGTGGTTACAGAAGCAGAGAGCTGGTTAGGCTAGTTTGGGGTCTTACATTCCCCCCTTTTTCTTTTGTACAGTTTTAATCTTGAAACTATAGGTCTTTATTACTTGCAAGGGGTTGATAGCTTTGCTGCAACACCATTAATTGGACTGTGCTAACTTGCTCTCGGATAAATGTCACTAGGCGGCTAAGTATACAAGGCCTAAAGGTTAGGAGCAAGACGAGTATAAGCAGGGGTCCTAGCAAGGTGGAGAGTAAAGTTGTTAACCAGGGGGATGTATTAAACCATCCCTCAAACCATCCTTGGCGTGATTCTCGCTCCTTTTTCCTGGTTTCTAGTCTTTTCTCTGAGTTTGGACATAGAGTCTTTTATTACACCAGAGTGATCAGCATAAAAACAACATTGCTCTTTGAGGGCTACACATAGACCTCCTTCTTTTAGAAAGAGGAGATCTAGTCCTCGCCTGTTCTGGAGCACTACTTCAGACAGGGAGGTTAAAGACTCTTCAAGTTTGGTAATGGACTGTTCTATATTTTTTAAGTCTTCATCTATGGCCATTTTAAGCTCTCTAGTATAGGAGGGTCCCTTGATGAGGGCTGCAGTCCCTGTCCCCACCCCTGCTGCTACCCCTAGACCTAGGAGTGTGGCTAGGGTCAGAGATATTAATTTTCTTTTATTCCTCAGTGATGAGGGGTGAGGGTCGTACTCACTTTCAAATGTGGCACCTGGGTAGTATATGATGGTGGGAACTAGCTGGACAAGAACACAATATTCTGATGTTTTGTTGAAGGCTTGAGTCGCTAGGCAGGGGGTGAGTCCAGTATTACAAGCTCACCAACCGCCCTTTGGAGGAATTAAGTAGCTATTTTCTCTGTAGGAGGAGGGAGCTTCTTTTATTTCATGGCAAAGACCTCGACGGTCATTAGGAACATTTCCTATACAGATGCCTCGGCCTGAAACTTTGGTTAAGGTTAGTTTTCCCTGGCTTCCCCAGGTGCAGGAGTTGGGGCTATTGGTGTTAGTGTAGTTTCCAAGAAAAGCAACTCCTTCATAATAGGGTGGCTCTACTGTTAGGCAGAGCCAACAAGATTTAGTTAAGGTGGGATCAGTGTTATTTAGGGAGTTAAAGGCACCTTGCACTAGTCTCAACAGCCTGTGACTTGTACTGGAGTTTAGGGGGGCCCGGTTTACGAAAGCGGGTGTGGGGGAGGAGGAGACGGGGAGCGACAACGGGGTACCTGAGGGGCGGCGTGGGTTAGGTCGACGGCTGGCGTTGCTCTTTTTGCCCTTTCTGGCTCGGCCACGCGGGCGGATTGCAGGGTTAGGTAGGTATACAGTGTTGGGTAACACAAGGTTTGGCCCAATGGGCATGGGGTTATAAGCTTTTACTTGCAATTCTATTTTAAAAGAGAACCCGGGATCATACCCTGCCTGGTAGAGTCTTAACCCCCAGGTATATCCTGCAGCCCACCTGGGCCAGGGCATTGCTCTCCCCCCCGGGGTGAAAGTGATGTTGAGGATAGAGCTAAGGGTAGTTGCTTGTACTTGGATGAGATCCCAGGAAGGGGGGTTTCGTATTCAGCGGGCGGTTCCTGTTGTTTCACATCCCCAGAAGGCACAATAATATTCAGAACCTGGTGCTCGATTACAGTCACCCTTTCGCCAGTCTCGCTTATGCCCCAACTCCTGTCTTATTCTGTTGTCGGGACAAACATAGAAAGGGGTTGCCTTGAGGTGTCTTGGGGAGGGAGGGGTGAGAAGGAGTGGAGGCCCTTCTGGTGAGTGGGGGAGCCCATAAAGCGCAAAATCTTGGGGGTTGATGTAACAAAAGTCTGTCAGCCCAAAGGAGCAGACACTAGGAAAAAGAGAGGGCCACCAGGTACCCGGTGGGGCTATGGTGGTATTGGACTGCTATACTACTTGTCGCGTAGTGGGGGAGATTATTTTTCAGGTCAGTCTTTGGGGCATATGGGGGATGTAACTACTTATCGGCAACAGGTGTATCATGAGACACATGATGGCGAACTCGAAGCTTGAGGGGGTTGTCAGTTGTCTCCACAGTCCATTCATCATTGTTGTCCTCGGGAGGCGCCCGCTTTGCGTGTGAGGCGTGAATCCAGGTCGCGATGCCGTCCACTTTGATGGCCGTCGGAGTCGTCAGCAGCACCAAGTGTGGTCCTTTCCACCTCGGCTCGAGGTTGGCAGCTCGGTGTCGCCTGACGTAGACGAGATCACCAACCTGGAATGGGTGGGGCACCTGTACTTCTCCCGGCTTGTAGAGGGCGGCCAGGGGTGCCCAGATCTCCCTGTGAACAACTTCAAGGGCTTTTAACCTGGCGAGTAGGGAATGGGGAATATTAGCATCAGTATTAGGTGGCATGGACCATGGATCGGACATGAGAGGTGGTGGGGCCCCAAACAAAACTTCAAACGGTGTGATTTTTAAAGGGCCAGGCGTATTGCGAACGCGGAAGAGGGCGAAAGGAAGGAGGACTGTCCAGTCTGTTACGCCAGTCTCTAAGGATAATTTAGTCATGACCTCTTTTAACGTTCTATTCATTCTTTCTACCTGACCTGAGCTTTGGGGCCTGTAGGCACAATGCAATTTCCAATCCGCCCCTAGTATCTTGGCTATTTCCTGACTTACCTGGGCAATAAAAGCCGGGCCGTTATGGGATCCTATTACCTTAGGAATTCCAAACCTAGGAAAGATATCTTCTAGGATCTTCTTGGCCACCACTATTGCCGTTTCTTTTTGATATCTAGGGCCGATTGGCCTATGAAAGCCATGGCTACTGAGGCTCTCTGCCCTTCTGAGGTCGGGTCAAAAGGAGTATACCGTCTGAACGCTTCCATCAGTCGTTCAAGGAAGACAGAGGGAGGTTCAGTCGGTCCTTGAAGAATTTCTCTTACCTTAGCCAAATTGGTGGGGCGTCTCGCAGCCCCTCTGAGGCCTGCCACTAGAGTCTGGCGGTAGACAGTCAGTCGCTCCCTACCTTCTGCCGTGTTGAAGTCCCAATTAGGTCGGGTCAAAGGGAAAGCGGCATCCATCAACGGAGGGAGTTGGGTCGGGCGCCCGTCCGGCCCGGGGACATTCTTCCGCGCTTCCAAAATGATCCGCTCCCTCTCTTCAGTAGTGAAAAGAGTCTGGAGCAACTGCTGACAGTTGTCCCAGGTGGGTTGGTGGGAAAACATCAGAGACTCAACTAATCCGGTCAGGCGCTGGGGGTCCTCAGAGAAAGGAGGATGATTAGTTTTCCAATTATAGAGATCAGCTGTGGAAAAGGGCCAATACTGGAGGAGCTGGATGGGGGCTGTATCATCCTCTAATCCCGGCCCAGGGTTGGGAACCGGCACTGGGCGCAGGGGGCAGGTGACAGTGGAATCTGGAGATAAACCTCTCCTACTCCTAGTACCCTGAGCCGGACCCGCAACCATAGGGGCCGTGGGCTGGGCTGTCCCCGGCCCTGGCTGGGCCACCTGCGCCTGCTGCTGGGGGACATAGGGTGGGGGAGACTCGAGAAGGAGAGATTCTGCCTGGGGATCAGTTAGGGGTAGAGGTCGCCGCACTGGATCTGATGGAGCCGTCTGGGCTACCAGGGCGAGAGGAGGTTGTAGCACTGGCACTTTTACCCAAGAAGGAGGGTTTTGGGCGAGGTCTTGCCAGACAATGATATAGGGACCTTGATTCGGGTGTCCTTGGGGGTGCGGTGCAAAGATCTTCTTTTTCACTGCAGAAATAACAGAAAGGTTAAAAGTTCCATCTGAGGGCCACCCCACACTGAGGGAGGGCCACTCAGAGGCACAAAACGTTTGCCAGGGGCCCTTCCGGATGATGACGGACAGGTCATGGGCCCGATCTCGGACCTCTTTCCAATGTGCCAGAGTGAGAGAGAGAGGAGTGCTCTTCCCTTGGCCCATAATTCCTGGATGAGTAAAAAGTATAATTAAAGAGAAAAGACCGACAACACAGACAACAGACAAACACCGAAGCCACTTGCTTCTGCACACAAACACTGACAAAGGACGATATCCTACCCTAGGAGTATCGTGCCCAATCCTGCAACGACCTGCAGGCAAACAACTGGAGTTGACCAAAGCCACCTGGTCACTCCTAATCCCTGGAGCGTCCTCCAGGGCGACAGTTTTTCTGGCCAAGAACCCTATCTTGGTCCAGAGGAACTTCCTCCTTACGGAGTTAGTACCCTGTCGTTCCAAATTCAAACTTCAAAATTGACACATCACATACAACACAGAGACAAATATAAAGGACGACTCCGGAGTCTGCCTACCTCCAAGCCTGGTGCCACCGGTCCTTTTAAGAGGGGTCGCCTCTCCGATCCCGGACGAGCCCCCAAAATGTTGGGCCGTAGGAATGTACAGCCCGTTTGGGAGAGAGAGAGACGACCGCCCAAAAAGACTCAGAGTCCAGAGGCTTGATGCAAAAGAGCAGGAGGTTTTTTTTTATTTCCAGCGCTGGGGCGTACAACATCACCCAGCTAGGGGAGCTGCCGCGCCCCTTTCAAGCTTGGGGGGGTTTTTTATAAGCTAAAACCGCAGCCGGTGGTTAGGGAGTTTAGGGTGGGGAAATTCCACTGGTCTTGTCTTGTATAACTGGTTGCACTTAGTTCCGGGAACTTGTAACAGCTATAACAGCTATTTCCTGGAAGGGCGGAAGGGGTGTGGGGTCTTGGTTTTCTAAGAGCAAGCGTGGTTACAGAAGCAGAGAGCTGGTTAGGCTAGTTTGGGGTCTTACAGTTTCACACCTTAGGTTTAAGTCTGTTAACCAGTGTGAGTTGATTTTTGTGAGAGGTGAAAGGTGTGGGTCCTGTTTCAGTCTTCTACATGTGGCTATCCAGTTGACCCAGCATCATTTATTGAATAAGGATTATTTTCCCCAGTGTATGTTTTTGTCTGCTTTGTCAAAGATTAGATGGCTATATGAGGATGGTTTTATATCTGGCTTCTCAGTTCTGCTCTACTGGTCAATGTCCCTGTTCTTGTGCCAATACAATGTAGTTTGAAGTCTGGTAAATTGATACCTTCCATTTTGTTTTTATTGCCTAGAATTGCTTTTGCTATACGGGGTCTTCTCTGTTTCCATACAAAGTGTAAAATTATTTTTTCTATATCAGTGAAAAATGATGGTATTTTAATAGGGATTGCATTGAATCTGTAGATCATTTTGGGTAGTATAGACATTTTAACAATGTTAATTTTGCTAACCCATGAGCATGGTATGGTTTTCCACCTGTTTATGTCCTCTGTTATTTCATTCCTTAGTGTTTCATAGTTCTCCCTGCAGAGGTCTTTTACCTCCTTAGTTAAATATATTCCCAGGTACTTTATTTTCTTTGTTGCTATTGTGAAGGGTTTTGAATGTTTGATTTGGTTCTCAGTTTGACTGTTAGTGATGTATATGAATGCCTCTGATTTGTGAGTATTGACTGTGTATCTTGAGACTTACTGAATTAATTTATCAATTCTAGGAGTCTCTTGGTTGAATCCTTGGCATTTTCTAGATATAATATCATGTCATCAGCAAAGAGTGAGAGTTTGATCTCTTCTGCCCCCATTTGGATGCCCTTAATTCCACTCTCTTGTCTGATTGCTATAGCCAGGACTTCCAGCACTATGTTGAATAGAAATGGAGATAGTGGGCAACCTTGCCTGGTTCCAGTTCTAAGTGGGAATGCTTTTAGTTTTTCTCCATTCAATATGTTGTTGGCTTTGGGTTTGTCATATATGGCTTGTATCATTTTTAGGTAAGCCCCATCTATGCCTACTTTGTTAGAATTATACTGTTAGAATTATTTTTCTATGAGAATATATGCAGAATTATCTCCATAATTAAAATATTTAAATATGCCTTACAACAGAAATAATAGCTAAGTATTAGATGAAGTAACTGCTTACTGATGCAACAGACAAAATCTGAAACATAAAGCACACAATAAAATTTATTTCTCAAGGAAGGTTGGTACAGGCTCTCTGATGTCAGGCAATCCAGGAAATCAGGCTGCTTTCTATTGATGGTTTCATCATTTAAACATGGGATCTTGGGCTGAAACTTGGCAGAGTAAAGGTCATCTCCTGGCTCTCTGCTCCCACAAAAATGTGAAGAACTCGAATTGTTACACACAAGTGGATTGCTTCCCTGCAAGAACAGCATTATGAAACTACAGAGAAACAGTGTGGGACACACAACACAGGGGAAAAAAGGTGAGAGGGAGACAGGATTGTGAAGTCTGGAGAGTGTGAAATAATAGAAAATAGAGTGTGGGAAGGCTGCACCCACCTGGCCAGCGAGTGCAGTGGGATCTGACCCACAGGAGAACGTTCTGCTTCCCCACTAACTTCCATACCCACTCAGACCAGGACCTGCCTGAAGTCAGTTCAAAATCATGGCACTGACGTTGGGCTCTGTGGAGAGGGGAAAATAATGGGAAGTATCTTGAACTCGCCAGAGCTCTGTGCTAAGACTCTACTGGGTTGGGGAGGGACTGGTCTGAGCTACTGCTAGGAGTTAAAAGACAGCACCTTGCCTCTGGCAGTCAGCGGGACTAGAACAATGGAGGTGAACACTGAAAAGGTGACTCTACTCTGGAAATCATTGTGGATGATTAGGCTGGCTAAAGAAGGGTCAGAAAGAGCAAGGCCTCCTTCTGGACAGGTCTGAGATTGCCAGAGGGCGACACACAAGAGACAATGGGCATACTGTTGACTCAGCTCACCAATGTGGCATCCACCAACTCCTAAACAGTCGCCACCAGCATTGGAACTCTGCAGGTGGGTGGCCGCCATTTATGGGGCCCATAACCCAGATGCTGTGGCACGCCACAGTTTCAGGCAGCACTCCTCCTGCTAGAACAGTGACTTTTGTGCCAAGAGTGGTGGGCTACATCCCTGGAGGTAGGGAGAGGCAAAAAAAAGCCACTTTCCTTATGCAAAGAGTGAGAGTTTGATCTCTTCTGCCGCCATTCAGAAACCCTTAATTCCCTTCTCTTGTCCAATTGCTCTGGCAAGGTCTTCTAGCACTATGTTGAATAGAAATGGAGATAGTGGGCAACCTTTTCTGATTCCAGTTCTATGTGGGAATGAATACATTCCCACACATTCACTGGGTGAATGTGTGAGGCCAAAAACCAAAACCTGGTTTTTTGAAAAGATAAACAAAATTGATAACCCTCTTGCTAGATTGACAAGAACTGGAAAGTACTTTAATGAACTCAATCAGAAATGATAAAGGAGAAGTCAGTACAGACATCATGAAAATACAAAACATTATCTTTAAATACTATGAAAATTTATGTGCCCCAAAGCTACAAAATGTGGATGAAATGGACAAATTCTTGGAAACACACATGCTGAACAGATCAATATCAAGTGCAGAATTGGAGCAGCAATAAAAAAATCTTCCAAAAAAAAATGTCCCAGACCAGATGGGTTCATACCTGAATTTTACCAAACATATAAAAAAGAACCCATAGCTATACTGCAGAAATTATTCCAAAATATTGAGAAGGATGATATCACCTCAACTCTTTCTATGAAGCCAATATCAGCTTGATACCAAAGCCAGGAAAGGATTTAGCAAAAAAAGAAACCTGCAGACCAATATCCCTCATGAATATACATGCAAAAATTCTCAACAATATTTCAGCAAACAGAATCCAAAAACACATCAAAAAAATAATGCACCATGACAAAGTGGGCTTTATCTCAGTGATGCAAGGCTGGTTCAACATACAAAAATCTATAAATGTACTTCACCACATAAATAAAAGCAATAAAAAAGACCACATGGTTCTCTCAATAGATGCAGAAAAAGCATTTGATAAACTCCAGCACACTTTTATGACAGAAACCCTAAAAAAATAGGCATATATGGGACATTCCTTAAAATTATGAAGGACATATATAACAAACCCACAGTCAATATCATATTGAATGGGGAAAAATTGAAAGCATTCCCACATAGAACTGGAATCAGAAAAGGTTGCCCACTATCTCCATTTCTATTCAACATAGTGCTAGAAGACCTTGCCAGAGCAATTGGACAAGAGAAGGGAATTAAGGGTTTCTGAATGGGGGCAGAAGAGATCAAACTCTCACTCTTTGTTGATGCTATGCTATCATGCCTAGAAAATCCCATGAATTCAGCCAAGAGACTCCTGCAATTGATAAACAAATTCAGTAAAGTCTCAGGATGCAACATTAGTGCACAGAGATTGGTGGCATTCATATACGCCAATAACAGACAAGCTGAAAATGAAATCAAAGACACAACAACCTTCACAATAGCATCAAAGAAATTTAAATATTTAGGAATATATTTAACAAAGGAGGTAAGAGATATTTATAGGGAGAACTATGAAACACTGAGAAAAGAAATTGTAGATGTGTACAGATGGAAATCCTTACCATGCTGATGGATTGGTAGAATCAATATCGTTAAAATGTCCATTCTACCTAACATGATCCACAGAATTAATGCAATCCCTTTCAAAATTCCACCACTATTCTTACAGACTTGGAAAAAATAATTCTATGCATTGTATGGAACCAGAGAAGACCTCCTACAGCCAAAGCAATCTAAAGCAAAAAGAACAAATTGGGAGCCATCAGTCTGCCAGACTTCAATATCACTACAAGGCTATAGTAACCAAAACAGCATTTCACAGGCACAAGAAAAGAGATATAGACCTAGGGAATAGGACAGAGATTGCAGATATAAAACGATCATCATATTGTCATTTAATCCTTGACAAAACACACACAAGTATACACTGGGGAAAAGAATCTATCTTCCATAAGTGGTGCTGGGGAAACTAGATATCCACATGCAGAAAACTGAAACTGGATCCCCACCTCCCATCTGTCATAAAAATCAACTCATGTTGGACAACAGATTTAAACCTATGGCATGAAACCTTAAGAATTCTGGAAGAAAATGTACGGAAGACTCGTTGAGACATTGGCCTAGGCAAAGAATTTACGAAGAAGACTCTGAAAGCGATCACAGCAGAAACAAAAATAAACAAATGGGACCTGATCAAATTAAAAAGTTTCTACAAAGCCAAGGAAACTGTCC